CCACCCTAGCTGGGTCCGACCACGAGCTCCAGGGACCTTGGTAGGTGGGGCCATTGAGCCTGGCGCGCAGCTGTAAACGGTAGCGAGATCGCGGGCGCAGCTCCAGGGTCCCTCCTCGGGCCCCGAGAGGCGGCTCCAGCACCTGCACAAAGAAGTGTGCGGTGGCCCGGCGTCGGGGCTTCGACAGCCGGGCGTCTGTTTGACCCAAATCCTACAGCTCCGAATCCCCAGGCTGTCGGAGATCCCCACAAAGAGCCCCACTGGCATAAAACACGCTTCCCGGCAGAAACAGGATAGAGCGCCCTAACCGAAAGCCTCTCCCCAACAGGATCACTCTCTGCCCGAGAGAAAGGCGCCAGACCTCACCTCAGAGAGCTACGTATCCTAACACCAACACCCAGGTACACCCTTGGCAAGGATCCCGGTACACACGCACCCTGCCCTGTGCTCTCACAACTCCAGGTCGGGCGATGGACACCCCCAGAAACAGATATATTCAGAGTCACATAGACCATGCCACAAATAATACTCATGCTGCGGAGGATGCCAGATTTGCGTCAGGCGCTGGGGTACAAGCATCACGTGTACAAGCAGGAAGACAGCAAACATTTATGAACTGTGTGATACTCCAAACATTGGGTTAAGCAAGCACTGGGGAGAAAGCAATAAAACACCGTCTCTTACATGTCTAATGAGGGAGACCCAAACAGGTAAATAATCACAACAATTAATTAGTGCAAGGCACCATGGAAGTCCAGAGAAGCATTTAATGCTTGGTTTTGTGCCACAGAGTAGTTTAGTGTGCTAAAAGCCTGGATGACAAGGCTGGATGGTCACAGATGAGGCTAAGGCAATCCTGGTAGGAATTTGAGGACTGTTAGTACGTTATTGCCATCAACTTAGTTGTTGATGAGTAAGGGGAAGGGGTAAGGGAAGAGCAAGAAGAGTCAAGGGTGCTTCCAGGCTTGGGTACTGGGTAAGTAGTGGTGCCATTGTCAGAGACAGGAAACAGACGAGAAGTTAGTTTGAGGAAGATATACTTTAGGGTTCCATTTTATAGAGTTCAACAACAATCCAAATGAATCAATGGTAATGTCAGGATGGTGATTCCTTTGGTGGCGGGGGATGTGGCGGGGCATTGGGAGCTTCTGAGGTGCTGGAAATAATTTATGTCTTGATCCTGGTTATGGTTACATGGATGTATACACATGTACAGACTATTTGTACACTTTGTTGTATGTAAGTTTTATCACAATAAAAAAGTAAAGCTTCAGGAGGAAGAGGAGTTCCATTCTGGATAGACTGAGTCTGAAATGTCCAGGGGGAGGAGGTTTTGGTGGAACCATAAGATGTTGCACATAGTTGTATATATGTGTGGCAAATGAGAATAAAAGTTGACAAACTAATATTTAAGTAACGTATTATTGGGCACTTTCCTTATGCCAGTATTTAGATATAGTATTTAATTTTTACTATAACTCCATAAGGTAGATAGCTTCATCCCCATTTCACCAATGAGGAAACAGACTTCAAACGTTTTGGTAATTTGTGGTTTGTAAATTCCTTTCCATATGGGAATTAGAATGGTAAAATTGCTATTGTAATGTATGGCCATTGAAACCATGGAGTTGAAGCACTCACCTGGGGAGAAGATATTTTTTTTTATCAGAGGAGAAAAGAGCCTAGGATGAGACTGTAGGAAGCACAGCATTTTGTGGAAGGCTGGCAAGGAGGAGACAGGAGAGGAGAGTGAGAAAGTTCAGTCAGAGAGGTAGGAGGAAAATCAGGGAAGACTGATATCCCAAAGACAAAGGGAAGAGAAATGTTAAGTAGGAGTAGCCAGAAGTATCGGATGCTCAAGAGAGACTAAGATACCAGTTGAATCTGATAAACATAGATATACTAGCAGAGACTGGATACATAGACACTTTCACTCCTGCTAACAGGCATGGCCAACCCCAGGGATCCCCTGCATAGTGAGGTCTGTGGGCGTTTGTTGCTTGACCATACCTTCCAGTCCTGATGGCCTTCTCCTGTGTATCGGAGTTGATAGCAGGTCTCTTGGGCTGCCCAGGATGATGGGTGCTGCCACTCCAATTCCAGATGCCCGCTGGAGATCTCCCTCCAGTGTAAGTTTGGGGTGGGGAGGCGCACTACAGGGATGTCAGCAGGGAGCAGCTTAAGTCCTTCTGTGTATGAGGCGTTGTGCCACCAGAACCATTGGTCAGAAGGGTCAGAGTTGGGGATCCTGGGCACAGGGTCAGATTCAGTGGGGCTGGGAACTATGTGGGAAGAATGGGGAAGAAAGTTCTTACCAGCCTGGTGGATCCAGAAAGGGGAGCCCAGGTAACTGTGAACAGCACCCAGGGCTGTGGTCACCTCCACAAGGATGTGAATAACGCTGTCATTTCGTGACTTGAAGTGGCAGCGAGAGAACTGTGGGGTCTGTAATCCTGGATTTGTTTTCTCTTCCTCTTCACAGTCCTCCCAGATGGGGTACCTAAGACCCAGCCCCACAGAGTCATTGAATCAGGCCTGCCCCAGAGACTAATCCCAAGGCTTCCCATCCCACAAGAACGATGGCCTGTAGGGATTATCATCTAACTCCTTCTTTCAAGGGGCCTCTAGAGCTTTCCCTCTGTCTTTATGCCATGATGGTTTTTTTGTTTGTTTTTTTTTTTTGTTTTTTTCCTGTGTTCATTTGATCATTTGTTTGTTTTTGCTATTTTGCCATGATGTTTTCTGAAGTCAGCTTTGGTGTCTGGCCTCTTCCCTTTGAGGAAAGACCTAGCATGATATGTGAAAACAGCATGGGTTTTCACCAAGAATTCAGGTCTTGGCTTACTTTTGTATAACTTTGGGCAAATTACTTGGTTTATTTCTGCTCCAGTTTCCTTCTATTTGTAAAATGGGTTAATGATACCAACCTCACAGGATTGTTTCAAAGATTAAAGAACCCTCATCTTTCTGGAGAAAAATATCCTATATTTTTAACGTGTTCTCATACGTCATTCCTCCTACTCTCCCCTATGTGTTATTTTGCTATTAGATTATTACAATAGTCTCCTAACTGGCTTTTCTGCTTTTGTTTTTGCCACTACCTTCAAGTTGTTCTCCACATGGCTACCAGAATTTGTTTCCACAAATGTTGATGTGATAATGTCCAGAATATAATGTCACAAATCTATTGATTTTGATCTTTACCACTGCTATGTTAGATGAAGCCACTATTATTCCTTGCTTGGATTAAGGCAAATTTCTAACTGGTGATTCTGCTTCTACTCTTATTTATTTATTCACAGAGAAACATATCTTTTAAAAATGTCATTCAAATTGTCATCGTTTACTGCTTAAAATCCTTTAGCGGCTCTTCATCCCACTTTGAATAAAACCCAAACTCTTTACCAGGCCTATGGGAGTCTGTGATTTGGTTTCTCCTTGCCTCACCATTCTCATCTCTTATGATTCTCATGCCAGTTTATCACCCTTTATCCACACAGGCCTTCTTTCTGTGCCGCAGATATGCCAAATGTGCTATCTTTGCACTTTGCCTTTGCCCTGGATTGCTCTGACTGCAGGTCTTCATGTGACTCATTCTTTCTTGCCATTTAGATCTCGGCTTATCTATCACCTCCCTGGTGAGGCTTTTCCTGGCCACTCAGTCTAAATTAGCAGTACCCACCCCGCCCACCCACCACACGCCCCCCTTTAGTCTCTATTATAACTTTGTTCCTTTATTTCTTTACTTACTTGTCTCCCCCTCCTTTTCCCCTCCCCTCTACTAATGTAAGCCCCAACAATGCTGGAACCTTTTCCATTTTATTTATTTTTAAAAATGTTTTGAGACAGTCTTGCTTTGTTGCCCAGGCTGGAGTGCAGTGGTGTGATCTCAGCTCACTGCAGCCTCTGCCTCCTGGGTCCAGGCAATTCTCCTGCCTCAGCCTCCTGAGTAGCTGGGATTACAGGCACCTACCACCACACCTGGCTAATTTCTGTATTTTTAGTAGAGATGGGGTTTCACCATGTTGGCCAGGCTCATCTCCAACTCCTGATCTCAAGTGATCTGCCCACCCTGGCCTCCCAAAGTGCTGGGATTATAGGTGTGAGCCACTGAGCCTGGCCCCTTTTCCATTTTATTTGTTGTACTATTTATCCCCAGTGCCTTGTACAAAGTCACCCTCAATAATTCTTTATTGAACAACTGAATCATGTCTCCCTCTTGATTATAACCCCTAAGTGGCTCACCATCACTAAAATGGGTATGTTTACCCATTTAATCAACAAATAATTTATACTATGTGCCAATTGGTACTGTGCCAGGCCCTAAGAGTGCATAGAGGAATAAGCTTCAAAGAGCTCTAATTTCAGTGGGAAAGACAGAAAAACAAACATGCTATTTTTCTGTGATGTGCATAGACTGGCTTGGGAGCATCAAAGGGGAGCATCCAACCCAGACTAGGAGGGTCAGGGAATGCTTCCTGGATAAGGCGATGTTTAGACTGAGTTTTGGACTAAAAATAGGATAGGCAAAAGGGACAAACAGGCATCCCAAGCACATGGTTGTGCATAGATAAGAGAGTGTGGTGCTTTGGGGGAGATTCTAAGTGGTGCAGATGGTTTTCGCATAAAGGGCCTGGTGGTAAGTGGTAAACGCAAGACTGCAGACCATGTCATGGATGGCCTTATGGCCTTTCTGGGGAGCTTGAACTTGAATTACTGCTAACCTTGTAGTAGTTATGTAGACATTTAAGGATTTTCAGCAGGGAAGTGCTTAAACTAGCTTTGTACTTTAGGAAGATCATTCTAACTGCAGTCTGTAGAAAGGATTTGTGAGGGGCCGACTAGAAGCAGAGAAATCCATTATGACACTCTTGTAGTTTTTCATGTGCTAAGTGATGAGGATGTGAAAATAGAATAGCGGCAGTGAGATAGAGGGGAAGAGATGACTGAAGAAATATTGAAAAGGTGAAAATGACGAGACTATTTCTGGTTAGGCCTGGAGGGTATAGGAATGAGAGAAGTCCAGGATGATTTCTGTTTTTCAGTCCAGGAAAACTGAGTTCGTGGTAGGATCGGGGACAATAAAGAAAAAGCAATTTTTTTAATTTAATTTTATTTTTTGAGAAGGAGTCTTTTCTCTGTTGCCCAGGCTGGAGTGCAGGGGCATGATCTTGGCTCACTGCAACCTCCGCTTCCCCGGTTCAAGCATTTTTCCTGCCTCAGCCTCCCAAGAAGCTGGGACTACAGGCATGTGCCACCACGCCCGGCTAATTTTTGTATTTTTAGGAGAGATGAGGTTTCACCATGTTGTCCAGGCTGATTTCCAACTGCTGACCTCAAATGATCCACCCACCTCGGCCTCCCAAAGTGCTGGGATTACAGGTGTGAGCCACCGTGCCCAGCAGGAAAAGCAAGTTTTGATAGAGGAAATGATGACTTCAGTTTTGCTACTCTTTAGTCCACTCAGGCATCTCTATCCTATGGATATCTATGCAGTGATTAAAAAGAATGAGTTACATCTTTTTGTAATGATCTCTGAGACATGTTTTTAAGCAAAAAGGCAAACTACATATATAATGTAATCTAATTTATATTTAAAAATTAAATATTAGGCTGGGTGTGGTGGCTAATGCCTGTAATCCCAGCACTTTGGGAGGCTGAGG